CCACATTCCTGGCTCAGGTGCTTCACAAAGCATGCCTGACCCTGCGAGATCACACCCCAGCAGGCTCAGGCACTTCAAGAAGCTTACCTGGCCTTCCCTTCATTAAATAACCCACCCAAAGGTGTGGGCTGAGGTTAAGGTGCCCGACCAACCTTACACAGGGGAGGTGATCATTCCTGGCATTTACATGGGGGCTGCCCAGCAGGGTGCAGTTTTAGGTCATGCCCAGGACCAGTGTGGCCTCCAAGCCATCCCCATAGCCTCACCCTTACCTCCAAGGTGTTCCTGGTAGAGCTCAGCAGAGAGGTGTTTCTCATCTGGCTGATCACGAACTGCCCTCAGCTCAGGGAGCTGGTCCTGGTGGCATGGTCATATAGAGAAGGGAATACATATTTGTATACTGGAAAAGAGAGCCATCTAAGTGATGTACCATTCTATTCACAGTATATTCAGAATTAGGAATATATCAATAGAGGCAACAAAACAAGGATGTCTTAATTGCCACAGAAACAAGCTCTTCAATAACTATACTCCTTTTCACCTCAGCAAAAGTTGCTTAGAACTGTGTGTGTGATGGATTCATGTGTACAATATGCAAGCAACTGGAAAAGCATTTCTCTAGGAAAGTGACACAAATTGTGTATGTCCCTACTATAAAGCAATTAGATCTCTATAGAGTAGCAAACATAAAAGTTCCAAGTTGCTTTTACTTCTCCCTCCAGGAGGCTTTATATAAAGGTCTGTTGTCTACTCCATCAGAAGTTTCACCCTCTATCACCAGCACTCTTCAGGGCTTTAGTGGCTCTTTAAGGTTTATTCACTTCATCCTTTGGTTCTTCTACACAGCTTCCTACCTGAAATTCCAGATTAGGTCCCCATTCCTTGCCTGGATTCAGGAAATCTTTGCTTTCTTTGAAAATCACTTTACTGCTGGGCAGTACACCTACCAATTTGGTGGGAAAAGTTATCTTAAAGTTATCTTTAAAATAAGAACTCCTTGATCCTATCCATTTTCCCCAAGAAAAAACTAATTTCCTTTTAGCTCATTTCAAACTCAATGTGTATTTAACTGAAAGTAGTTGCACTGCATTTCAGTTGTCCTGTCTAAACTAGGAAAAACAAACGCTCACTCCTTTGATCCCTAAACAGAGTTTGAAGATCATGATAGCAAAGCAGATGGCTTGCTTGTATCCTGAAGACTAAGCGCAAGCACCCTAAGGACTACCATAATCTATCAAGCAATAGCCAATGTAAATTATGTTTAATTGAATTACAGACCATTTTATAAAGTTCCTGGTTTATAGATCACCCCTGAGCCTGTGCTTTTCCAGGCTGAAGAGTCAGTCAAAACTCTTGGTATTACTTATATCTTTGCTAAGATCTACTCAGTGAGCTTGCTGGCGTTGGTTAATTCACTGTTCCACTCAATGAGCTCTGTTTTCTGGAAAGATAATTGAGGTAGTAAGTGTTTTTGTCACTTATCTCTTTGAAATGATCCCCATTTCATCTCGTGTTCTGCTTCTTGACTGTCCCTGAAGGACTGCTGTCTGTGACACAGATCTTCACCTGTACAAGATATACCATTATTAATATTTGGACATGCTGTATTTACTTTCTGTAGCCTGGTTGGATTAACTCCAATTAATCCTGGTTGGACTGGTACAGTTTAGGAAAAGCAAAGAGACATTGAGTTCAGACAGACAAATACAGGGTAGTGAAATAACTATTTACAGCAACTGATGTAATCCTTTTTGAAAGCTAAAATTAAACAAAAATCTGTGATTTTTTTTAATTTTTCACTGAAATTCACATCCTGATTGAACTGTAACTTCTTGGTTTAGTCCAGTCAGTAGTTATGTCTGTCTTCTTCTCTGACACAGACAGTTTTATCTCTGACCTGGAATACCAGCCATCAGGTTCAGCAGAGAAATGGACTCAACATTCAGCATTCATATCCAACTCGTATGTGGAAAATCTAGAGGGTGAGTTTGCTTACAGAAATGCTTCAACATTTGAAATTGGAGCAGAAAAAAACAAGGAAGAGAAATACATTATAGTAGTCTTAATATCTACAGATGAAAAGTTCTGTCTAATATCTAAGTATTACTGTCATCAGACCTGTATATTTTCTAATATCACAGCCTTGGATGTAGAATTCATCCCTTGAAGCAAAATTTTTTCACCAACTCATCTTTAATAATAAATGTATATCTATCCCTTAAGTTGATGAGGAAAAGCTTGAAGACAGATATAAACAAATTGTTTTTCCAATGTAATTCAAAGTAAACTTCACTCAAAAACATGTCTAAAAGTACTGCAAAACCTAATATTCTGTAAGGAACAAGGCTTGTGATTACTTTTTTATAAGTTAAGTAGACCCAGGTCTCAGAGTGTGGCCAGAATGACTGGAGCTGATTTAAATAAATCAGTATTTCTAGAATAGTTTTAAATTGTTTCATGGTAAATCAGGTTTGTCATTTAGATAAATTAAGTTGAACAAAGTGAATTGCAGTACCAACCTACATATATTAATTATGACTAAAAACTTTATAAATACGTATGAAATACTTCATAAATACTGCCTAGTTGGATTTACTATGTAACTGAGAAGGAAGTATTTTACACATTTCTTAGAAATCCATCAGCCAGTTCACTTTTTCATGAAGAATAAGATAATTGTGTATTGTGAATGTCTGTGTTAAAATATTGGCACTGCTGAAAATAGGCAGAAGGCTATTTGAGTCCTGGTTGTGCTTGCTTATCCCCACTTTTCCTGAAGTGTATCTTTCTTTCCTGTATTCATAAATGTCTAAAATTCTAAATTTAGAGATTTTTTAAAAGTGTGCTTTCAGTTATTTTTCCACAGAAGTTTTTGTTAAGTCTCATCCATTTATTTTGGATAGGAAATTCAGAAATAGTACTTTGGTCAGCTTGGTTAGTATTCCTACACAACACAATTTAAAAAAAAATGCAGCTTGTGATATCCACATCGGTTTAGTGATAGATAATTGTACAAAGCTATCACCAGGCAATAGATAACCCTGACCTTATCTATGATAAAATCCTTATCTTACTGACAGAGCAGTGCTAACAGTAAAGCAAACAGTTACAATTCTGAAATATGGTACATGTTTTGATACATTTTAAAACACCTATCAGGATGGCACTTCTAATGGTAGTTAGAAAGTAGTAACAATTATTTGAGGGTTTGTCTCCAAAGAATCCATTTTTAATGCACTGTTGCAAAATGTCCTTTCTGAATAGCAGTCTGGGGATGAGAACTATATAGCTTGGTTCCAAACATTCTTGTGCCCAAGTTTTCATTGGAATGGCAGTCTCTGTAGAAGCTTGGTAGTGAAGTCTCCTTCACGAATGCATCAGTGAATTTTCTTCAAGTGCAGGCTACTGGTCAACTTGACCCAGTACTATGTAATTTTTTATTAAAAATGTGCTTGGTCTACTTGTTACCACCTGCAAAGGACACTGGGGGTTGCCTTTGTGGTATCCCTGAGAGACAGAGCTTTTTGGCACTTGCATAACACCATCTTAACATGGTTGCACCTCTTCTAGTTTATAAGCCAGCAACTGTGCAATATGTGCAGCTTGTCTCAGCCTGGCACTGTCTTGTATGAGACATACTCTGGGTTCTCTCCTTTTTTGCCCCATTTCCACCCTGGTAGATGTAGTGAGAGGATTTAGAAAGAAGTAGACTGGAGAACAAAGCCATTAAGAAGGGACTGTCCGGGTCCCCTCCCTTGATTCAACATCCCCAGAATGCCTTTCTCAAGAAATCTTTTCTGCTTAGATCTTACTTGGAATGTCCTTTGCTGAGGAAACAGATACACCCACCTCTATGTACTTAACTAAGCCCCAGTTACTACTGAATGAAAATAACATTTCCCAGATCCAAAACATCCTGTTCCTCAAAAGATATTTTGTCTCCCGAGTTAACCCTGTCTCTTCTGCCTCCCAGGAGAGCTGTTAAGTCTCTCAGGATTTCTTCAAGAGATTCTTGACATTCCAGAGGTTGCACAGAAATAACAAACTAGGACACATTCTCCATACAGTAACTCTAAGCAGAATAATGGTGTGAATTAGTGAGGTTTTGCTCAGAACTGCTGAGGTATTCTGACACACTCCAGCCTCTGTACCATTTACTTCAAAGAGAACAGAAAGCAGATGGAAAACCAGCCACTTCCCACAAAGGGGTTAAACTACATTTGTCAGCCTCAGACCACTAGTTCATTGATAGTGCAAAAGGTTCAGGAAAGATTCTAGCAGGAAGGAAATTTAGAGACAGCAACAAGGACCTGAAGGGACTAGATTTTTTTTTTTTTGTCATGAGTTCTGTTCGACAAGCATTTAAATGATGATGGACAAGTCACAAGCCCTGCTCTAAAAATACACGTTGTATTTTTGTAAAGTGTTCTTTAGAATAGAAAGCCAGGTTTAGCAACAGGAGGAACTTAACACCCTCATTCCTGAACCAGAACCTCAACAGGCTGCATTTGCCATTTGATACAACTGTAAGGACAACATCAGGCATCAACATGGAGTACTCTTCCTGGCCCAGTGTTTCTGATGTCCCAGAAGTTGTCCAGCCACTACAGAAACTTGGCTTTGACAGGACAGAGCTGATTCGTAGCAAGGCATAGCTGTCTTGAAGTATAGTACAACCTGTGTTCCCTGGATCTATGTATCACAAACATCTAAGTAATTACATTTTGTCAGCAATGTACAACTGTGTGTCTATACAATAATAATACATAAAAATAACTGTGGCTTTTACAGTCCATTTAACTTAACCAATAACTTTGAGGAACAAATAGCTTGAAGTTTGGCACATGCTTAAATCTGAGTCATGTTATAGCTTGCTCTCAAGGGAATGGTTAAAGGGCCTGCTCTGTAAGGTACATGAGATAGCAACAGATGCACCTTGACTGTTCTTCTGTTTGTTGCATCAGGGTACACAAACATCCTGTGGTATTCTTCTGGGAAAAGATGCATTATACCCAAATGCATTCATATCTGTTTTTAAAGCACTTTTGTTTTGGTGGAAGGAATTTCTATTTTTGTTTTAGGGAGCTATGAGAGAGAAGATGGGGATTGTACATTTATTAATGCAAGTGCTGGAGTTGGTGGTCTTTTTCCGTATTAAATTTTGTAACCCTTTTATTTTTTTAAACTTCACATAGTAGGGCTTCCAATGCCTTTCAGGCCTTGGATTATTGTTATTCAGAATCCTGTATCTGCTCTGTAAACCAAGAGTCCTAGAGTTTTGCATTCTACCTATTAGGCAGTTACAGAGACTTGAGCGAGGTGGAATAGGATCAGGCTTAAGTCACTGCAAAACTGGTCATGTAAAATGAGGGTTGATCCCCATTTTCTTCACTGCCTCCTTTTCTTTTCAATCACAGTCTTAAGGATAAAGTGATAGCCTGTTACAGAAGCAGATGCAGC